TAAAGTAGATTGAATCAAAGGATATTTTCTTTATTTTGTAAAGAATATCTTAGAGGATTGTATTCCAGTTTTTCCAAATTAATAAAAGAGAAATGCTAAAAGACCCGACTATTGTTCACCCGACATTAGCCGACACACACTTGTCAAATGCAGATTGGTACAACTGGGCAGACGATTTTTCCCTTTCTTGACGTAACTTTACTTTCTCTCATCTCTCTTTCAGTCCTCTTTCTCCCTTTTCTCTCTGGTGGAGAATCCTTCATCTCTCTCGGACGTTCCCTTTTCCCTTCATTCTCTCTCGGTTAATCACAAGTTTTTTTTGCTTTCTTGTGAAGACCCATTTCTTCCAAGTTCATCATCGTCGGGATTTCACTATCGGCAACCATAAGCCTCCGGCCGGTGCTTGTCTTCTCCATCGTCGGTGTCTCCGTCGCTGATCTGCTTTCTTCTCCATACTTAGACTCGCCAACCTTGATTGTATCGAAACCATCAAACCGTCATGGCCGAGGACCAAACTCACCTCCACCACGGTAGACCCAGTTTCACCTTTGCTACCCAAACCAGAGGAGACCAACACAATTCCGGTGACGAAGTGAGATGAAGTGAGATTATCCCGTCGGCGATGAAATGAGATGATCCCTTTAGTTTCACAGAATAGTTGGGTCGGCGATGAAGATCCGGAGATGTCGATCTTATCGTGATGGAGGCGGCGGCGAGCAAGAGATGGGCTGTGGTGCTGCACCGATTACGACTCGCGGCGACGTGATAGCAGTGAGTGTGGGCTTTGGACAACGGTAGAAGCTTACTGTGAGGATGTTGATGGCGGCGCCGGCGAAGAGGGAGATGGCTGGGTCCGATCCGGTCATGGAGAGCCGGCAAAACAGATCTGGGTCTTGGACTTGCAGCGCGGTATGCTTGCGGCGGCGGTGCCCAGCTAGATGTTTCAGACGATTCGCTGCACCGGCGAGGAGCAGCTGGAGATAGGTAAGCTTAATCGACTGTGGATGGCGGCTGGAACTAGTGAACAACAGATGAGGGAGAATGAAAGATGTGAGTTTGATTCTTACAGATTTTGTAGTTTACAGAAAGAGAGGATGGGTTTACCGGTGGTCGCGGAATTTTTGCCGGAAAGATGGGTTCGTCGCCGATTGTTAGAGAGAGAGGGGAGGGAGAGAGAAGGGACATCCGGTTCAACAAAAAAAAAAAACAAGTAGGAAAATTGCCACGTTGGACAGCCACCTATGCAGTCGGTTTTTTTCGGGTAAATAGTGGTCGGGTCGTGTAGCACCGCTCTTAATAAAATTCTATTTGCTTCATATTTTGTTCTTTATTTACAAACTATGAAATTTGTGTGTACAAATTTTTGGCACTCCCGGTGGGATATCCTCTGCCTCTCATCTCTTTCTCATACATCAAATCTTCAACAAATTCTCATCGTTAGAATTTATGGCTTTCGACAAAATTCAGGCGAAAAGCAAGAATACTACCAAAGACATCGCAGTCGTGACAAACAACATCAATACCACCATAAAAGGTGGCAAGAAGGTTACAACTTCGTCAAGTGGTACAGACATCTCTACAAGTTCAATGATGTGGAGTATGGTCAAAGCATACGTTCCTTCCAAAAGACAGCATGATGCGATGAGAGTCAATTCCGTCAAATCTGTCAAAGTAACAATTCAAACTCAATTCGTCTTCACCTCGCTGGGGGCAGGAAGGAAGGTTCCTACAACCTTAAAAATTGCTCTAGTCACAAGTTCAAGTTCAAGGCTAGTCCACCCAAGGCAAAAGATTTTTTCTGACTCCGTCACTATACCAGTCATGATAACGAGTACTACTTTGTACGAAGAACAATTGAAGAGTTTGGCCAGTGTAATTGAAAGATTACAACACTCTGTCAATGAACAAGATTTGAAAATTGCCTCACTAACAGAAAAGTTAAAATTGTGTGACGACAATGCTGAGTCAAGCAAAGGCCAAATTCCTCATTCTAATTCCATGCCAGAGACCACTCCAATTGATTATCAAAATGACATGTCTACTAATCCAACAATTAAAGCTGCGTCGTCACCTCATTTTCTATCCAATAACTTCAAGACATGTAATACCCCGATATTTTAAAGGATTTATTTAATTGAAATTAATTACTTTATTTTATTTTTTAAAATGATTTATTTGATTTAATTGGGATTAATTACTTTAATTTTATGTTTAAATTATTTATTTTATTTTATTGAGTGCTTAGATTAATTGTCTTTTAATTAGATTATATTTCGTGATTATATTTGTTAAATTGATATGGTATTTTGCTTTGTGGAATGCTTTGATTGAATTATTTATTTGATTTGTGTGTATTTATGCTTGTGTGAATTGTTTGTTAATTATTTGTAATTATTAGATTTAATTTAATTAATTTATTTTAATTGGATTGAGCTTAAAGAGGAGGGGGACCAATGGATGTGGTCTTGGGCTTGAAGAAAGCCTTGTTGGGTTATATATATATATATATATATATATATATATATATAAGTATGTATGTATGTATGTATGTATGTATTGATATATGTATATATATTTATGATTTAATTAGTTATGGATTAGTATGGAAGGAAATATACAAATTAATATATATTATATAATATATGTGTATATATATTATTTAATAATTATTATTTCTTTTATTTGGTAGTCCTACTAGGAATATAATTTGGATTTTATTATGTGTATAAATATACACATAAGGCTTTAGGGTTAAAGTTTTTCTACGTTAGAAAATAAGAGAGACAAAGAAAAAGAGAATAAGAGAACGCTGAAGAAGAGGAGACCGGATCAGAGAAAGAAGATGCTTGAATTGGAAGAGACAATTAAAGCTTGAAGCGTCGGTTTCGTTTCGAAACCTTCAGGTGAGTTCTTCTCTAACTTTCCTCTTAGAACTCATAAGGATTTCACCTTGAGTATCAATGTTTAGATTAAATTTATAAATTTAAATCATGGTTAGATCAGAATAATTAAAAGTATAAATTATTATCTTTGATTTGTGGATTATTGGATTTTAATTGTATATATAAGTGTTGTATATATTTTAAAATCAAGTTATAGGTTGATCTTTAACCTAATAGGGTTAAAAAGGGTTTCTATAATTTCTGGGATTTTTCTAGAATTTTCTGGAATTTTTATAGATTTTTTCTGGATTTATGTTAAAATTTTTAGGAATTATTTAAAATTGTTTTCTATATTTTTGCTAAATTATTATGCACTGTTTACTGTATACACAACGACGTGAGTATAAGGGAGTGCGATTCTGTGCGGTGCGGCTCACAGAGCTGCGGTGCGGCTCACAGAGCTTTGGTGCGCCTAAATCAGGACCACAGAATGGTCCTAATGATCATCGAATGTTCCAGTGTGTGCGTATACATAGGAGAAGGGTGCACTCGCTGATCTGGCCATGGGTGTAGATGATGGATGGTGGCGGATGATCTGGTGCGGCGCGGTCCATGCGGAGTTGGTGCGCCTACAAGATCTGACCACTGGATGCAACTTCAATGGTGGGAGAAGACAGGGTGTGAACGAGCTCACCAAAAACAGAGGGACAGCCAGTGAAGAGCTGTCAGCGCATGCTTAAGGAAACAACAAACGCGTGTAGGAGCGTGGACGCGCCTGCCAGTAAAGGGAAGCGCGTAGGGATGGTCTAGGTGCTTATGGCGATGTGTAGGAATGCGTGCGGGGTCCTAAAAAGTTCCTGTGGGGTCCAGTGATGCCCCAGAATTAATTTTAAGCTTGTTAGTGTTGAAATCAACCTTTAGAGGATATGTTATTAGTGTTCAGAGAGCCAAAGAGTATCACCACGGTATTTAATGTGCGTGTATATAATTAATTAATAATTGGTGATGGAAAGAGGTGTTTATATATATATATGTGTGTGTGTGTATATATGATTTGCCAATATATAAATAAATATATTTGTGGAGGCATGGTTGATTTGCCTATGCATAAATAAATATACGTGTTGGAGGCATGGTTGAATTGTCAATGTATAAATAAATATATTTATAAGAGAATGGTTAATTTGTCAAAGCGTAATTAAATTACTATGTGATAGATGATTAAAATATCATCTATAGTTTTTGTATATATAAGTTGGATTATGATTAAATATTCTTAAATTAGAATAATCTGATACTTACATGTTTGTTATTTATTTTATAATATTAATAAAATAATATTGGTGGAGACATGGATAATTTGTCAAAGCATAGTTATTGGATATATGATTTAAATAATTAAATCATTATTGGGTTTTGGATTAATTATATTATTCCTTTAATTATAATTCATTATCTAAATGATTAAATAATTGTTTAGGTTGGAATTAAGGTTTAATAGACTTTTCTTTAATAGATATGGTGGATTGATTTAGGAATGATTATTATTTAATCATTATTAATGGTTTTGGAATTAATGAACTGAGTAATAGATGTAACTGTTATATTATATATAATTAATTATATATATGTATATCATTGTATATTAAAGATAAAAACTTTATTAGGATTAACTTTGGTCAGAGATAATCTTTTTATTGGTTTTCAGGGACCTGGTAAAAAGAACTTGCTCGTGGGTTTGACCCACTTATTTTTATCTTTTAGGTTATTAGAAGGTCAAGTCTCAAGGTTGAGAATCCGCAGCCGGAGGACTTATCCATTTTTTCTATTTTATTTTAAAGTAAGATGTTATTACTTCAGTGTTTATTAATGAATTTCTGGATAGTGGATTTTGGTTAAGGGGTGCTTGAGTTACGGGATTCCCGAGTTGTAACCATTGGAGAGTTATTAATGGAAATTATTATTTATTAGTTTTCTTTAGCGTATTATTTATTCTTTTATTTCATTTTGTAATCTGTACTTGTTTGAAATACTTTAATTGTTTTGATACCCCCTGATTTGTGCGCGAACTTGATCAACCCGTATTTTGAAATTATAGGGTATCACAAGACATGATAATGAATTAAATAAGAGAACAATATAGTGGCGTTCCTCAAAGTGCTCACATGTACTCAAAGGCTTACACAGAAAGAATTAGCATCTTAAAAATGCCGGTTGGGTATTAACCTCCAAAGCTTCAACAGTTTGACGGAAAAGACAATCTCAAGCAACATGTCGCACACTTTGTAGAAACTTTCGGCAATGTTGGTACAAACGGAGATCTCCTTGTCAAGCAATTCGTTTGTTCCCTCGAAGGGCATGCATTTGATTGGTACACAAACCTCAAAGCTAGAGGTATTGACAGTTGGGAGCAAATGGAAAGAGAATTTCTCAACCGTTTCTACAGCACTCATCGTACTGTAAGTATGCTGGAGCTTACAAACACAAAACAGATGAAGGGTAAATCCATGGTTAACTACATCAACCGTTGGTGAGCTCTAAGTCTTAACTGCAAAGATCGTTTGTCTGAAATTTCTGCAGTTGAAGTATGTATGCAAGGCATGCGTTGGGATCTTTTTTACATCCTACAAGGGATTAAACCTCGCACATGTGAAGAGCTTGTTACTCGAGCCCATGACATGGAGCTTAGCATGGAAAATCATGATACTAGGGAAGATATTCCTGATATACCTGACAACCTTCAAAAAGATAAGGAAAGTGAGTCTGAAGGAAGAAGACAATATACTTCCTAACTCGGATGACGAAGTAGCATCATCTTTCATTATAAGCATCATCTCGAGAAACTTACATCAAGAAACGCACTATGATACAACAATGACTTCAACTGAAAGTGCTAATCACAGAGGGCATTAAGTCAAAGAAACCAAGAAGAAAATCATCAAAGTGACGACGAGATAATAAGTGTCCTTCAGCATAAGTTTGGATTATCGTCTAATTCTTGCAAAGTTGAATAATAATTAAAGTTGAAATCCTCCTAAATACGAGCCTAAATTGTCGATGATACTCCCTGACACAAGTATAAACTGTTTACCTGAAAACAAATAAATAAATAAATAAAAATAATAATAAAAATTCCTTGACACGAGTATAAACTGTCTACCTAAAAGAAAAGAAAAGAAAAACCTCTTTGACAAGAATATAAATTGTCTGCCTGAAGAAAAAAAAATTCAAAAACTCCTTGATATAAGTATAAACTGTGAAAAAAAAAAAAATTTGAACTACATGATGACTTTTGTGATACCCCCGAATTTTCGGATGCGGGTTGTCCATACCCACGCTTGAATACCCGAGAATATAAAAAACAAATGGTAATAATCGAACAAAGAGTACAAAATAGCTAGAATGATAATCCTTTAATAAAACCTCAGAATAAATTTTCATTAACAAATTCCTCTGATACAAGTAATCCTCCAATTTATACAACTTGAGAATCCATACTCTGTGGGGATCCCTGGAAAACCAAAAAATAAACAAATGACAGCAATAGCTGTCTACATCAAAAAACTGAAACATAAATGAACTCCTAAGTAAATAATCCGGAAGAGTGAAGCAAATGATCCCTATTCAGCACGAACAATCACTACTCCTGACGAATACTCAAAAAATAATGGTGAGTCAGGCCCACAAATAAATTCCAACTTACTACAGTTCAAGCAAAGATCCGATACACGTATACATCCTAGACAATTCAACAATAACTAACAGTCCATATATATATATAGATACACACTATAGGACGCTCGCTAGACCATAAGTCTGTCTCAACCTGAATAGAAGACAACATACAAATCACACATAAAGTGGATATGTATACCTAGACCTACCAGGGTACACAATGTCTACTATGTCCAGTTATCCATCCTAGGTGATATTCGCACCCTAACTATGATCCTGAGACTCAAACTCATATCATGGCACCATAATCATATACACAAAATCCATCTTATTCATCCATAACACTGCAAGAAAAATAGTTTTTTACCACGGTGGAAAACACTTTCTACGACGATTTTGAACCGTAGTAGAAACAGCTGTTGTAGTAAGTGATGACTTTCTACCACGGTTTCGTACCGTGGTAGAAAGTCCTCTTGTCCTTTTTCAACCTTGAAAGTCATTTTTTCAACCACGGTTTTGCACCGTAGTAGAAAGTCATTTTTCTGGTTGAAAAAGGACTTTCTACCACGGTTCAGAACTGTAATAGAAATTGTTATATAATTTTTCTTAAAAAAATAGTGTAGCCCCCATGAGGCCTTTTTTTCCCCTACTACTAGCCTTGCAAGGACTCTAGAAGCAAACACAAAATAAATAAAAAAAATAGCATCATAACTAAAATAACTTACAACTAACCAATAACATCATATATATATATATAACCAATTCCAAATCATTGTTTTATACAAAAATTAGCCATATACAAATTTCTTACTTCTTATACCATATACCAAAATAAAACAAAAATTCTTTTATCTTCTTGCCCTGTTTTAGTCTCTCTTCCATTACATATATGCAACTTCTTCATAAGTCATACAAAAAATATAACGGCAACCGCAATCCTAGCTTTGACCTACAAAGTTATAATAGTTGAAATCAGAGAATGTAAAGCAAGTTGTCAAGTTGTCAAAATTAAACCAAACAAAACAAGCATTATAATAAAGGTATATTGAAAAGATCTACTCTTCGTATTAACTCAATATCTTAGGTCATTGACATCCCGTCACCAAAAGAAATCATTTGAGCAGCAATGAGCAACAAAAGTAATTTGACAAAAACAAAATACCCCGTGCGAGAAAGTTTTAGGCTAAGACAGGTAATTTGTACTCATGACAATGCGAAGATATGATAGTTGAAAATAAATGGGCATCCTAGTTAGTAAAGTTATGGAAAAAGTAGCTATATTATTTTGCATGATTAGTAACCAATTCCATGGAGTTTACCTGTTTGTTTTTCTATCATCATCCTTTAAAGTGCACAAATTAGGTACTTTAAGATTGATTTTTTATATTTATGAGTTTTATCTATTTTTGTTGGCACTTGTATTAAGCCTTATCAAGTAAACTATTAGAGTTTCCTTTATAATTTCAAATTTAGCCACATTGAGATTAGGTTAATTTTGCTCATAACATAAAATTGCTATAAATTCAGGGGAAAAAAATTGCTGTAATAATGCTTATCACTAATAATATTGGCAGAAAATGAATAATGTTATTGTAGTTAATATACATATATGTTCTCCTTTTAGAAAAAGAAAATATGCAAAGTTTTCTTCTCTCTTTTTTTTTTTTTTTTTTTTTTTTTTTCCATATATTGGTGTGTTTGCTCTTGTTTACAGGCAATCCTACAAGACATTCCACCATGAAAATTTGATAAAATCATAACAAAGAACCCTTTCACTGAAAACTAATGTTTTTAAGTAGTATTGACCCGAAAATCACCATACCCATGTTTTAACTCCTCAAATAATTAAAGGAGAATTAATATGAATAACAACTAATACATAAAAAAAAAAATTAAGTTGCCAACTTGCATTAACTCCTCAAACAACATATCAACTACTTCTCCTCCACAACAATCAATCAAAACCTCCACATACGATGATCCCATACTCCCATGCTTTCAACATTTTAAAACAAGAAATAAAAATGGCCTTCACACGGGCAGATGTACCAATAGGTAATAAAGTTCAAGATACACCGTAAAATTGGTCACTAAAATGCACGTGACCCCCTAAGTATGAATATAAAAAACATTAAAAATTCACAATCATAAAAGAATTTTATCGAACATAAAGACCATATAACTTACAAATTTTGATTTACTTGATAGGCCATGCAATTGAAAGTGCTTTAACAAATGCGTCTTACACCATGCGTTATTCAGCCCCTGGATCTGCACAAACTATATTGAGATTTAAATCGCTGAAAAGATAATCTTAATGGTTCAAAGACAGAGCAATGCCAGGTGGACAGAAATCCCTTGTCAGTATACTTGCTGAATCTTTTTTTTTTTTTTTTTTTTTTTGAGCTTAGCATGCATAAGGACATAGCTGCAAAGGTAGTTAATGGTTTCAAGAATGGATTTGTGCACACCTAACATGTTCAACAAATAGAACAGTGTGAAGAGTGAGCAATTTTATATTGGAGATGGAAGGGGAAGGGTCCAGACGTGAAGACAAAAGGTCCATCACGTACTTTCTTGATATATGATTTTAATATTGGTGGTGCTTCATTACACATGGATACTGGTTCAAAATTCAGAGTATGGTTATAAGATTCTGGAAATTTTAGTTACTTGAATTAGGATGCAAAAACAGGTTCTTGAACACTTATACGTGGTGAAATACACATCACCCTAGTCAGCTAAATGAGGATGTTGTTGACCAGGGAGCAAAAAATTTGGTTAAATACTATCCATTTTATTTATTACTAATCTAGCTTGAAATCTAGACTAAAAATTCTGAAACTTTGAGTAGATTTGACCAATTGATCAGAAAGGTCAAAATTTGGGCTTGCCAGAGTTGTAGTTTCAATGAAATCATTATCAAAGCATTCTCCTTTAGTCACATGAAGAAAAAAAAAAATTATTCTCTTACTTTTCCTTTTTGCTTCTCTTTGGCAGTTGGGAACTTTCTTGAACACTATCAAGAGAATCCTTGATGTTATACACTGTAGAGTTGAGGACATCTTAAAGGCTTGGGCATCCTATCTGCCCGTAGTTGGAGACAAGAAGTCACTTTTCGGGGAGCAGATGAATGGAATTACTGTTCTGTTGAGAACTAAATACAAAAACTACATGCAGGCAACAGTGGTGAAGCTTGTTAACAGTGTATGCTCTACTACCCACAATCTGATTTTACTTTATATGGATCACTCTTTTTGCAGCACATCCCTGAGGTCCATCATAAATTAGAAATTGCCATGTTTAAAAATTCCTATTACTAGTGAAGTGTAATTCCTATTACTAGTGAAGAGTAATATACCTATTGTAATATTTTTATTTTTTGCCATTTTACTAGTGAAGTAATATACCCATTGATAGGAATTTACAAGTATATATTATCTAATATATATATATAGTAATGATGAAAATCTACTAGTTAAAAACAAGTAGAATTAACTTAAGGGAGCAATAATAATCAAACTCAATGAAGCACGTCTAAATTCATTAAATAGTGGGGAGAACTGGAACAGCAAATATGTTCTTCTAGACAGCATAGTGCATGTCTTTGCGCGTGTGTACATTTTTGGGCCCTCTGGACTATTTCAGTTATACTCTACAAATGATGTTCCAGATGCAAGCAAACCGGAACACACGGCTAAAAAGGATCCTGGAGGAAACAAAGGAAGCAGACAGAGAAACAGAAGTCCGGGAAAGGATGCAAATGCTGAGTTCACAACTCATTGATTCCATATCCAACTTGCATGAAGTGTTTACAAGTCGAATATTTGTTGCAATCTGTCGTGGATTCTGGGACAGAATGGGACTGGTCGTTAGACTCTGCTATTAATTTCCTCAGAATCTTGTACATTTTTTCTATGTTTGGAGTGAGGTCGTCTCACAAGGGCGTTTGTGGGTGAGACGTGCCAGGATTCCCTTAAAAAGGTATTTGACATCTGACTTTTGAATATCTTATTGTCCTCTATCTAGACTACTGTCATAGAGGATAGCTACGAACAATTTGGGAAGGATGGGAATATTCATGCCTAGTTGGTCTGCATCTATAAGAGGGGCTGAAAGGAGAACGCTTAAACATATTTCCACCATTGTGTGGGAGGCTGGTAGCTCAAGAGTTGTTTATGTGGTTCTCTCGGCCTGGAAGGCTTAAGCTGGTAGCTCAAGAGTTGTTTATATGGTTTTCTCGGCCTGGAAGCCTAGGCTTGTCACCTGCAGATTCTCTTCTTGAATGCTGCAAGGAGGCTGCAGTAGTAAGACAGATTGTCAGGCTTGCCAACTGATGCTTTTATGTCTGATATAGAGTGTTTAGTAGAAGTGAAATAGGCACACCTTTGAGGATGTGGAGATCTATGTTCATAGGCTGAAGAAAGCTATGTCGGATAATTTCCATTTTAGGATATCTGGAGGATTTCCAAACTCTTCAAACCTTTTTTTATGACTTTTTAGGAATTTGAGTTGTATAGGAGTCTATTTTATCAACTCTTACATACTTTGAAAAAGAATATTACTATTCATGCCCCTGTTCTCTTTTTGGGTCATTATCAGTAAACCAGTAAGTCTTGCAACAATCCAGAGCTTCAAGAACTAAAAATTTGTTCCCAGTTTACAAAATATGATGTTTAAGAAATTCAAAAGAGAAACATGTTCATATACTTAACAAATTCCAAGAAATGAAATGTTAACATATACAAATCCCAACAATATAATTATTCTTTTACCTAGAAATCAATAATTTAGACCATTCAGATTAGTTCAAGTTCAGGCTTCCCATGCATAATAACAAAATAACACAACAGGCATCTCTAAAAATAGAAACAACACAACAGATGTTAAACAACATACCTGTCTGTTTCGAAAAGTTATGGTAAGAGCTGTCAATCCGGCAGCAACAATGGCAAGCGGCCTCCTAAGAAATCCCAATCCTGCAATTGCCAAAGCAAACCCACCTTCGCGTCTTTCTACCACGTGTATAAATACAGAGAGAAATAGATTGTAAACAAACCTAACAGCAGCGGTCGTCTGCATATCGCCGAACACACCTTCGCGTCTCTAATGGAGGATTCCAGACTTAGGGTTTCTTCTTTAGGGGTTAGGGTTTGCTCCTATAGCCAACTGAAAGAGGCTTGATGGAAAGAGGGAAAAACATTTTCACAGGTTAGGGCTTCGAGAAAGAGTGATGAACAAACGATCTATCTATGGAAATCAAGAAACCAGCTATAAACAAGCCTTCTATCCGAACCGCTGTACCTAAAGAACCACTCAACTTCTCGGTCGGTGTGGAGCGAGAGTTGAGATCGATAATAGTAGGTCGCATCAACACAGAAAGGAAGCCTCCGGCACCCATACATTAAGGTGAGCCTCATTGCTTTTCGTTCTGTATGACCAGATGACGGGAGAAGAAACTCCGATTTCAGCTTCGATCAACAAAGACGGATCCCAACCGGCCAGATCTGATCTTCATCTTCGATCCGACCAGCAGTGTGTGGGTTTTTTTCTGTGTGGGTGTGTGGATTTGTCTACTGAATATATATATATATATATATATATATATATATATATATATAAAATTGGACAGGGCAAGCATTGAAAATATCAGCGGGAATAACAGGGGATGAAAATACAAACCTCAATTCGTGTCCTTCGAATTTAGGGCTTCGAATGAGAGAGGGAGCTAGGGTTAGGGCTTGGAGAAAGGGGCAAATCCTTGTTCAATCTCGACGCCAATCAGTTGTGCCGCTATCTTCTCTGCTCTAACGCTGCGCTGACCGTCGATTCAACCCTCAGTGGCTTCGGTAGAAGGGTTGGGCTTGGAAAGAAAGAGGAATGACGGCTTGGACGGTCTGAGAGAAAGGGGGTGGCCGGCTTTGGAGATGTATAGAACTGCAGTGATCTTGAATAGGGAGCAAAATCGATTCTTTGATGATCTATAGGGAATCCGACTAAAGATGTCTTGAAAATGGTTTCGCGCTGAAGGAAAGGGAGCATAGAATAGAAATGTTGCAAAACCTCAATTCTGTTGTTCCTCGGTGTGACTGAAGAGGAAGCTCAGAACTGTCACAGAGGAGCTACCTCACATTCACCCTGCTATCTATGTCTTTGTTTGCTTCTGTATATGTTTCGATCTGTAATTGTATTTTTTTTTTTTTTTTTTTTTTTTTTTTGGTTAAAATCGATCTGTAAGGCCTCGTTTGGATTGAGGGATTTGGAGGGTTTTGGAGATAAAAGAAAGGGAAGGATAGGGATAGGTGTGTTTGGATGGAGGGTTTTGGAGAGAAAAGAAAGGATTGGGAAGGATTTGGAGGGATAGCCTATCCCTCCAAATCTCTCCTAAACAGTAAAACCAAATCCCTCCAAAATTGACAAGATTTGGAGGGATTTGGAGAGAAAGGGAGCTAATGACCTTTGGAGCCCATCCGGAAAAGTCGCCGGAAGTTGCAAAGATCATCGGAAAATTCGTCGAAAGTTGCAGAGACTGTCGGAAACTCGCCGGAAGTTGCAGAAATCGTCGGAAAAGTCGCCGGAAGTTGCAGAAATCGTCTGAAAATTCGCCGGAAGTTGCAAAGATCATCGGAAAATTCGTCGAAAGTTGCAGAGACTGTCGGAAACTCGCCGGAAGTTGCAGAAATCGTCGGAAAAGTCGCCGGAAGTTGCAGAAATCGTCTGAAAATTCGCCGGAAGTTGCAGAGAACGCCGGAAAATTCGCTGGAAGTTGCAGAGATCGTCTGTTGCAGAGATCGTCTTTTGATTTTGGTAGATTTTGTAGATTTTGTAGTTGGCAGTTGGAGAGAGAGACAGCCGATATGGGTTTTGACCTTCTATTTTTGTAGATTTTGTAGTTTGCAGCTGGGGAGAGAGAGAGAGAGCAGATGGGTTTTGATCTACTAATTTTGGTAGATTTTGTAGTTGGCAGTTGAAGAGAGAGAAAGAGCTGATATGGGTTTTTGACTATTTTTGTAGATTTTGTAGTTGGAGAGAGAGAGAGAGAGAGAGAGAGACGGAGGGATCTGTGAGATCGGGAATAGATAGATGGAGGAGGCTGAAATGATTTTGTGTTCTAACCCTACCAAAAAGGGTAAAGGGTAAGATAGTAATTTTATTATTATCAATTCTTTTCTTTTCTCTCCTTTTTGTTATCCAAACAACAATATTATCAATTCTTTTCTTTTCTCTCCTATCTATCCAAACATAAATATAAACATTTCCTTCCCTTTCTTTTCTTTTCTTTTCTTTTCTCTCATAATCCTTTCTTTTCTTTTCTCTCCAGTGTATCCAAACGAAGCCTAATTGTTATGTTAGCAGTATATATATTTTACATATATATATATATTTTTTGTTTTTATTGACATTAGCGGGAATAAGACTCGCCAAAAATTTCGCAAAAATAATTCATTTTTTAACACGGTTATAAAAATTATCGTGGTAAAATAATATATTTTTTATCACGATTATTTTAAAATCATGGTAAAAAAATATATTTTTTATGACGATTATTTTAAAACCGTGGTAGAAAGACCCGCCTAAATCAAATAAAATATAATTCACTTTCTACCGTAGTAAAAAATATACCAATAACCGTGATAAAGAAATATACTTTCTATCACGGTTTTTCATTAATCGTGGTAGAAAAGGTCTTCTACCACGGTTTTAAAAGGTAAAAAAAGTGTGGTAAAAAATTATTTTTCTTGTAGTGTAAGTGATTCAGATAGTCATTCAACTTGTTTAGTTGAGCTAACACGAATATAAGTAGAATTTAACATTTTTAGTTAATCCATTCCCTTGTACAAAATAGGTAGGACTTAACTTCTTTGATTAATCAGTCCCTATAACACCACCATCCTATACCGTTGCATTACATCTATACAATCTAATACATAATGCAACAGATAAAGCAGTACATTAAATAATTCAAAATAACATGATAAAAATCACACATATAATCCTTGCACATACTTAAGCAAAATAACAACTCTAAGTAGCATACATTTAATTTTTACAATAATAAATTAACATGCATCTCAAATAGATTGTTTTAACGTAATTAAACTATTTAAATCCAATTAATTGATTAAATTAGCTTAATTCCAATATTCATCCACTTAAATTGCTAAATAATATTAAGTAATGAAATTCTTGGTTAACAATATGTAAATTTATTTAAAACTTCATATTTTTCAAGTCTATAGCATATAGTCATAGGTTATACATTTCCGGTTATTCATCCAATTTATTTAAATCATATAAATTATCCAAAGTGAATTAAACATCATTGGAACCACCCTAACAATCAAACAGAATCTTTAAAAAACAAAATCTACAAGTTCCAAGTGATGGAGCATGCTCTCGTTTTGAGAGAGCAAGCTCTCAAACTAATGGAACAAGCTCTCAACTAAAAGAGCATGCTCTTGGCCAAAACCCTCTCTCTTGTCTCTCGATTTCTCTTCCCACCTCTTTGTTACTTCTCTTTCTCTAAGTATAATACAACTTCGCAATAAATCTAGCCTCCTCTTCTATCGACTTAAATATATAAATATAGACAATATTATTTAACCCTAATCCTATACGTAATACAAGTCTACTTATAAAAATAATAGAACTATATAGTAGAACTACTACTACCTTGTAATATTACGTATTTACATATATATGTAACCATTTACAAATATAATATAATTATATATTTATATAAATATATAAATATAACTAAATCCTCCTTATCATTATTAATTAAAATAATAATAATAATAATAACCTTCAATACTCATGGGTCATAACCCTTACCCATGTAGATCCATCCCAATAGCCCATGTGACCCAATTATTTGGTCCATTACTACAATCCAAATCTAACTCATTTTTAAATTAAAATTAAAATAAAACAATTAATCATTTACAACTAACAAATAATTGATAAGTAATTTCAGCAATTAAACAAACAATTCGCACATTAATAATCAATTAAAATACACAATTAAATTACATATTTCAAATAAACAACGAATCAAATAAACTCACATAAGCAATTAAAACAAATAAACATATAACATGAAGCCACATAAGCACCTAAAATACAATAAAATAAATAATTAAATCCCTTTTATATCATTTTGAAAACTAGGGGTATTACATTCTTCCCCCCTAATAAAAGGAATTCCGTCCTAGAAATTCATGAAATTCTGAATTATTTTTGTTAAAATTCATTTCCGTTCCGCTGTGAATTCTGCCTCTGTGTATGGGCTCCACTGAATTCCAATGCATCCAACAATATATAAGGTTCCAATATTTAAGAATCTCAAGAAATGTACAAGTCTTAGGTTGTATCTAACAACGACTCAATCTTATCCAATATTTAGTTAAGGGTAACAATCCCTATTCATCCAAGGTCCATAGGATATTCGAACAAAATTCCGATACTTCCAGTGCTAACAAGTTGGTAACGCTAATCTATAGGCAATACCAAAAGCTAATAATTATTTAATCACTTAAATAGTAAAATATAATTCAAGGAAAATTATATTTAAGCCAAAAGCCAATAACGAATTTAACATAGCAATTTAATTATGCTTTAACAATTCAACCATGCCATTATGAATATATTTATTTATATATTGGCAACTCAACCATGCCTCCTTAAGTATATTTATTAATACATTGACAAATTAACCATGCCTCCTTAAGTATATTTATTTATACATTGGTAAATCAACTATGCCTCCTGAAGTATATTTATTTAGACATAGGCAAATCAACCATCCCTATAATTCAACCATGTACCGATTTTAAACTTAACGATGAACTAAATCACATATAGTCATATCATGCATATCATACGCATATTATTAATTTAAAACCAACCTATCTAGATATAATTAAATATGTCCCTACCCCAACCTGTTCACTAGAACTGACATTTGTGATACCTCTCGGATCCGAGACACGAGTTGATCAGGCCCAGGCCCAAACCCGAGGGAAATATCCAACAATTAAAGTATTTTAAAGTGAACACAGAATATAAAGATTTACGAATTTAAATTACAAAGCTGAAAGAATTAAGAAATATAAAATCCTCCAAATAAAACTGTATAATAATACTTCAAATCCAAAACCTCCATGAGTACAACTTGGGAATCCATCTAGTGGACCCCTAAATAAAAATGTCAACTGAACTGGAAAATAAAACTAAGCTAGATCATAAAGAGAAGTCCTACGTAATCCGATGAATGAGAAACTATCCTCAACCAGCACGATCAAGCTCTAAGGTTGGAACCGTCCTGTACCTGAAAAGAATAAAAGACTGGGTCAGGCCCACGAACAAGTTATAATCTAACTGCAATCCAAACTGTGACCTGATACGCAGATACACCATAGATATCCTCACAATAGCTATCTAGTCCATACGTATATATATATCCACACTAAGGACATTCACTGGACTATAATAGAGATCTCAACCTGAATAGAAGGCAATATGCGAAAACGCACCCAAAGGTAGGCATGAGTACCTAGACCTAACAGGGTACACCTACCTACTATATCCAGTTACGCATCCACTGCATATATGCACCCTAACCAATGAGCCTGAGACTCAAGCTCATCTCGTGGTACCATAATCATATATCTAAAGTACGTCCGAATCCAAAGTATGTCATTCGATTATTCATTGAAGAGACATACAAAACCTAGTCCAGATAGTCACTCAACTTATTCAGCTGATATGACTTGACCACAACCAACTAATCTAGGAAGTCACTCAACTTAGTCAGTTGATCTGACTTATACACAATTTAGGATTCAACAATTTACAATCCATTCCATTAATCCGATAGGTTAGGTCTTAGCGTTTTGAAGCTAAGCCGTCCTTAGTGTGCCACCTTCCCATACCGGTGCACAGAATCCTCCATATCCATGTAAATTACAACATATAAATCATACTGAGTAATTTACAGTCCAAACTAATATCCAAATAATTGCAGAGACGATAATTAATATTCTAGCAATTAAAATCCAATCGGAATCTAAGTAATTGCAGAAAAAGTTTAATATTTCGACAATTAACAACCCAAAGCAGGTATAGACCAAAGCAAATCTGTAGATAATAATTTACAAACCAAACTAATATCCAAATAATTGCAGAGACGATAATTAAT